ATGATATGTTTACTTAAGGATGAAAGTAGAGATTGAGAAGAACCTTAACATCTTTATGAAAGGTATTAATATTACATTAATAAAAGTTACACTCCCAGATAAATTATTTTAAAGTCTCTTGGGAATGAATAACTAGCAGACCTATTGTTCACATGGGGCATTTTTAGCAGAAGTAAAGGCTAGAAAACTAGACACAAATTTATATTATACCATTTCTATATAAAGTTACTACTACTACTACTACTACTACTACTACTACTACTACTACTACTACAAGAACACAATGTTGTAACTGTTGGTTTTTCCTGATATATTTAAAAAAACTTTTGGTAATGGAATGAATCTACACATGAAACAATGGACCAATAAGTACATCACATAAATTTGACAGTTATATCTTCTAATTTTGGCCAAATAAGTAATTTCTAATCTGAAGATACAAAATAAAAATTGTTGCTACATAGATGTGGACAGTTTTGCACTTAATTTAAAATCTGAAACACTACAGAACCAATTTGGTTTCTGTTTTCAGATGTTCTAACTGAATATTATATTATGGATCATACAATATTCATGTTGTAAAATAAAACAAAGATCAAATGGTATAATGACTACCAATACTGGCAACAAATTGTCTGATTTTAAGACATGCAAAAAATTTTATGGTAACTTTCTGCAAAAAGGACTGTATATGGCAACTGGGATCAGTTCTAGGTTTAAACAGCAAGTCTACCACTCACTATTCTATACAACATTGGAAAATGTGCTTTTCAGCCTTGGTTTCCTCAGTAGATAAAATACAGCTACTATCTTAGAAAGGTACAGAAGTATCTCACTATGGTGCATATACATGCAATCCAGATACTTGACACAGTAAATATATGCACTGAATATACTATTGATAGCCGCTATTAATAGTTTCTAAAATAGATTCTGAAAATTCAGGTATATATGCAAGAGTTTATAGGAAGACATAGAAAATTTAAATCATATATGTATATGTACATCAAATAAGATACTAAAATATATTCAAGCAGACATTGTACATCTACCACACATCAATATATGTTAAACTTCAATTTATTTTTTATTTTTTTATTTCTTTATTTTACTTTTTTAAAAAATATATTTCATTACAGGGTCTAGAGGGTCTCACTACACAGATTGGACTCATAGTAATCCTCCTGTTTTCAGCCTCCCAAGCGCTGGGATTACAGGGGCGTGCCACCATGCCCAATCTCAATTGCTCTCTCAGCACACCATGGGGGTGGGGCCAGTACGGCATGTGGAGATCAAACCCCAGTTACTGTTTATTGTGTTTCTGAAAGTCTCCTACAACAAGAAGTGTAGAAATATTAGGGCATAAAACTAGAACAATAGATACAGCTGCTATGTATGAGATAATCTCTTATCATATTACATAACTTAATGGTATGAAATGGTTTCATATTCACAGTGAACTATCTCTTCTTTCAGAATACACAGGGAAAATGTAAAAGAATAGACCCAAGCAATAATCAGAATTGTCCTAACACACAGGTCTTGCTTTACCTTGGTCTTGGCCATCCAGCAGAAAAGTATAAAAACGAAATAAGAAGTAAAGCCATGCTGTTATGTTGAGTTGTGGGGCACTCAGGTCAACAATTTCTGACATAGCCAGTCAAACAGAAGACCCAATACTATTATGGGCTACTGGACTCTTGTAGAATATTTTGCTGAGTTTACACACCTATAATATTCAAATAATGGAACTTAACCAAAAAAAGGGTATATAGACAATTGTATCTGTTTATTCAAAGTGGTTTTGATAGATATATAGTTACATTTTTTAATGAATGGAATGATTCTTATACAGCAATTAACCACTAGGAAGAAGGTACGCAGTGTGTTAATTATTGAAACTGTCCTACCGATTTGATTTGCAACTGTCTCATTGCTATTTGTTTATCAATAAAATTATGGGAAAAAAAGAATTTTCCTAACAGTTTTGAATCAAGATGTCTTTTTCTTCTAATAATGATATAACTACAAAGTCCTTTTCTAGATTTTTAAGTGACTATTTTCTACAGGTGGGGAAACAGAAAATGGGGGAAAGAAAGAGGTGGGAAAAATGTACACAAAGAGTAAGAAAGAAATGAATATGGAAGGTGATGGAGGAGGGAAAAGGGAAAAGAAACAGGAGAGAGGAGGAGAAGAAAAAGTAGAGAAATGGAACTTTGTGATTTTCATTAAAATGGAAATATAAATACCCCCTACAATACACACAGACTTCACCAAGAAAGATGTTAAGGATGGAGTAGCTCTATAATTGACTGAGACATTTATAATGTTCCTAGCTTTAATAATTTGAACTTATTTCTAAACTATCGTCTTTGCATTATCATCTTTATGACTATGAAACCTGATAGATTTGTTTTCCAAGCTTCCTAATAAAGAAATACTGATATTTCTAAAATAATTACCTTTATTTACTAGTATTTATAGGTGCAGTTCAACTGTAACATAACAAATTACACAATAATTAGGGACAATTCAAGCATAACAATTTCTTCAGTTCAAATGTAACAACTTGGTAAAGAAGTTATTTTGTGTTTGCAATTATTGTGACTATTGATTTTCAAAATAAACACAGTGATACCATTTTATAATAGAGTTTTGGGCTACAAAGTCAGTAGCTGCAAGCTAATATATTTTATTTTTTATTTCCCACAGTCAAGTTGATCTATGTACACCAGAATTCATGTCATATTATACAAATAATCTGTAGTGTACCACAATCCTGTTAACAGTCAAGAGAAGATACAATCAAACAAAACAAAAAAGGATATGATGTTATTCCTTCAAAAATATTACAAATAGCCAATCTAACATTTATTTTCCTCTTTCCTACTGAGGACCAGTACCAGGAGAGAGAGATGGGGGGAAGGGTGAGAGAGAGAAGGGAGAAAAGAGGGAGGAGGTGAGAGAGAAGGGGGAGGGAGGGGCAGGGGAGGAGAGAGAGAGAGAGAGAGAGAGAGAGAGAGAGAGAGAGAGAGAGAGAGAGAGACTCCTGTTTGAATTTTCTATTTTGCATGAGTGGTTGCTATATACTCTTGAATCCTTAAAATGACTATATTTGGTCCTAAAACTTAATCAGATAGTTTGTTTATAAAACTGGCTGGTAAATCATTTCTTTACAGAACTCTAAAAATACTCATTATCTTCCATTCAGTGTTAATAGTCAGTTTTTTTGCTGCTTTTTCTTGGGTGGGGGGTATAGGGTTTTTCTATGTACTTCAGGCTGGCCTCTAATGAATGGAAATCCTTCCACCTCAACCTGAGTGCTACTGAGTGCTGCTGAGTTACAGGTATGCACCACTATGCCCAACTAACAGCAACACTTTTGAGATAGCTATAATTTGTTTTTCTTTTATCACAAAATCTGTTTTTCCCACCTAAAAATCTTTAAAGAACTTTTCTTAATTCCTGGAATACTAAAATTTTTTGATATGCCTCAGTATGGGGCCCCTCATTCATTATATAAAATGTATGGGGGACCCTTTTAATCCTAAAACTGTTGTTTTTCAATCTGGGGAAACTACCTTTTTTTTTTAATTTCCTATATATCTCCTTTGTTCTTTTTTTTTTTTTTTTTTTTTTTTTTGCGGAGCCTGGGATTGAACTCAGGGCCTTGTGCTTGCCAGGGAAGTGCTTCTTCCACTGACCATCTCCCCGGTCCCTGCAAATTCTAATTTCTGGTGCTGGATCACTCCGTGAAGTCCTTATATTAAGCTTTTTTCTTCAATTATTTTCATAATTTATTTTCAAGAAGACTACAAAAACATTTACTTTTTCATTGTGGATTTTTATTTTGAAGTCATATTTCATTCCTTCCCATATGATGTTATTTTATGTAGTGGGTCTTTTTCAGTACATATATGAGGATATTGCAAGGTTTTGTCTTGTTTTTAGTTTTTTTTTGTGGAACGAGGGATTGAACTCAAGCCTTTGCATTTGCTAGGCAAGCGCTTTTTCTCCTGAGCTATCTCCCTGGCCCTTGTCTTTTTAAAGTTCTTAACAAATTACTACTTTTCTCTTGGGATAGGTAATTTCCTCAGGTGCAATATACTATACTTAATTCTTCTTGGTTTCTCTGTTTGCTAAGGAATTTTTAAATGACCTTGTGCTGCTTGATTGTTCAGTCAAATCTGAAATACACTAAAAGAACTATAGGTTTGTACATGAGTGGGTGACGGGCAAACTTAGGAGGGATGTGATCATTATACTTTGAAACTTAAATGTCATAATGTAGAGGGCTTTGCAACAAGGTCACAGTTAAATTTCTTGGTACTCAGTTTTTCCTCCAGACTCGATTTTTAATGTTTATACAAAAGGGAAACATCTATCATTCTTTCATTGGATATATTATTCCTTATATACACTTTTCAGTCAACCCTTTTTTAATTTATAAGGTCTACTTGAAAAACTTCATCACTGTATCATATTCTATGTACTTTCCAGCTTCTAGAAATGGGTTCATACATCTCATTTACTGCTAGGCCCCTTCTCATTTTTTTTATTCTCTATTATTTCAGTGATGTCTTAAAAAGAAAAAGTGCTTAAAACTCATACTTAAATATATTCCAAGTATGTATACTTATCCTGTAGTGTATAGGAATGAAGCAACCTGGTTACTTCGAAGCTCAATAGATCCAATTTTAAGGAAACGAGACAAAAACACCTGAAATTTACACCAATTATTAAATCAAGGATGAAATAATATCTGAATACTATCTACCCTAATTTCCCATTCCAAAGTCTTAGAATTTTAGTCTAGGGTAGTAACAAATCATCAGATTCACAGGATTCTTTGTTTTTTGTCTTTTGGCAGCACCTAGGATTGAAACTAGGACCCTTGTACTCAACTACATCCCGAATGTCTTTGAATCTTTAAAATTAAGTTTGGATCAGGTTCACTTTCCACAAGGTCTACAACATGCCCAAATAACACTTATACTTACTCATTACCCCAGTCCAGGCGCACGGTGATGTGTCGCTTTACCTCCCGCACCTGATCCTGAGTCAGGTGGCCAGACAGTAGCTGCCTTCGCAGGTCAATAAGTTCATTCATCACATGGCGTAGTTTGTAGAAAAGATCTACTTTGTGTTTCTGAAAGGGTATTTTTGATGTTGGGTGAAATGTAAAAGAGGTTTGGAAAGGAAATGAAAAGAAAAAGAGAAATAGTTAAACTATGCAAAGTGATTATTTCTCTGAACTATAAAGGCAATGTAAAGAGATAATTTACAAATTTTAATCTGTACTTCCTGCTATTTAAAAATCAGAACATAGTAACATTAACAAAGTAAGACAATCAATGTGGTTCACGCAAAAGCACCACCTCTACTCTATCCTGAACCACTCATGTCAGTGTCAATCAAAAGTTTGCACACAGGAACCCAAAGCTATTTACATGATAAAAGTTACAATGCATTGAGCAGCAAAGATGTCAACAATCCAGCAAAATATCTAGTTTCTCTGGGAGGGAAACACAAGTTTAAACAGGAACAGGGAGAATCATTTGCACTATTTTAAAGTTACTAAGAAAGTTGGGGAGATAGCTCAGTAGAATAAGTGCTTGCCTGGCACTCACAAGGTCTTGAGTTCAAACCCTGGTACCACCAAAAAAAAAAAAAAAAATAATAATAATAATAATAATAATAAGTAACTAAGGCTTCAATATAAAGCTAACCTATTTAGAGTAAGATTCATTTCATGGTTTCTAGACATCATCTAACTAGCAAATTAGCTTTTCTAAACAGCATTACCAGAGCCATAGATTTTTAATCTTTTCAGATTAATAAAAAGTGTTTCTTTGAAAGAATCAAATACAAACAGTATAGTAAACTTAACTATGAACACTATAATGAATTACTTTACAGGTTAAAAAAAAAGTATATGACCTGAAAGCTGATACTTCAGAAAAAAAGATGTATTTAAGAGATTTAAAAAATGAAATTTAAAATCAAATGAAATCTTGACTCTGGAATCTCTAGGGTCCTGTTTCTGTTATAGATGTTTAATTTTAAGTAACTAAAATACTCTGGCTATAACTAACATAAAAATGCTTTCAAGACAAACAAGAACCATACTTTAAGATATATATTTAAGATTTACCCTTTAAAAGCTTATTTACCAAAATAAGCTTGGTTTAGGTGACTATAAATAATGTACAAAACAAATTACATAACAGTAGAATTAATGAGTGGTTTTAGGTAGCAGTGATATTATAATTAAAATGTTCAGAATATCATAGTAAATTAGAAAACATCTAGTGGAATATCAAATTGCTTTTAGACAGGTGTTTGTGGTGTAGTTCAGGCTGGCTTTGAACTCATTATGTAAGCCAGGATGGCCTTAAACTTGCAGTGGTTCTCCTGCCTTAACTTCATAAGTACTGAGGGTTAGAGTCGTGTTCCAGCATGCCTGGCTGGAGTATTAGATTTCTAAAGGTCCAACTTACAGAAAAATTATAGACTAGAAGACCAAGGGAATCCAACAGGCTAATTAAATTAAATAATTTGTTTTCCTTTCTTTAGTTAATAAATAGTTCAAGAAAAGATAAGAACCTTAATAGTAAACAATTCTGGGAAAAGGGTAAAATCCAAAAATCCCTGCCAGCTCAAAGAACAGAAAGCTCTAAGTAAATGCATCACAGGGAAAATAGGACATAAATGCAATGTGGAATATGCTCTACCCCACACATTTTTTCTTTATAAAATGGGACCACCAAAATTTACAATACAAAGCTATAATTACTATTTCCTTATCAAATTATATACAACAATTGCATATATGCATACACAAGCATTCACTTCTTCAATTAACAAATGATTATGGAGCAAATGCTGAGTGCTATTACTTTGTTGTGATCCAAAGGCCTATATTCAAGACATTTTCTTCTTAGATAACAGAAATGGACAAAATACAAATGACTAACTAATAATGGTGATAATTTTGAAAACCAGAAACTAAAGCAATGTAGGGACAATGAATGGAAAAGGGTGGCTACTTTAGGTACAAAGGTCAAGGAAAGAATTCTCTGGAAGTTGAAGTTTGAGTAATGACTTGAATTCAAGTAAGGTAGCAGAAGAAAAATTTGGGGAAGTTCTATATCTGTTAAGAAGTAAATCAACAGGGGAAGGGGAGATGACTCAGTGGAATAAGCGATTCCCTGGTAAGAACAAGAGACTGAGTTCAAACCCCAGTTCTGCCAAAAAGAAAAAGAAGAGGTAAGTCAACAGACCTTCAAGTTTTTTTGACCTACCTATAGAGGCCAGCTGTTCACCATATTAAACTGTACCATTATTTCAGTGCATAATGCATTTTTTATTAATTTTATTGAGAAACAAATAGCAATGAGACAGTTTCAAATCCGATGAGTAGGACAGTTTCAATAATTAATACATTGCAAATTATTATATTCGTGGTGGTTATTCATAGTACAAGATGAAGACATGATATTTTGTCCAAACACTATTAGTACAAATCTTTCTTCTCACTGAATTAAGAGAAAGTAGCTGTATATCTATACTATTTTCTATATACAAATACAAAATGGTGCATTTGTATCTCTTTTCCTTTAGTAAGAGATAGGCATTCCATTGTCATTTAAATACTGTAGGTGCATGAATTCAGCAAAATATTCCAATATAGTACAGTAGTTCATAATAATAGTATGTTATCCATAGGAATGGCAATGTCAGAAGTTCTTGACTTGAGCCTTTTACAGCTCAGCACATTAATATGGCTTTATATTTTATACTTCATTTTTACAATTTTCTGCTGGATGGTTAAGACCAAGATTAAGCAAGACCTATATAACAAGAAATGTAATTTTTGTATCTGACAAGGTCAGTCAAATCCCCTCAGGATTTATCCTGTAACCCTGAAACACAGTTTGCAGATCTTTTGTCAGTGTCAGCCATGTAGATGAGTCACAGCCATTGCGTGACCATTTACTCTCTGTGAAAGCCTGAGAGAATGTTTTCTCTCCATGTGACTCTCTGTAGGTACACTCTACATCATTGATCACTTTTCTCTGTGGCCCCATAATCTCCTTGATCAGTAAATTTGGGACACAACTGAGTTACATGATGTTACAGTACAGGTTCTCCTATGTCCTGAGTCTTCACTGACTTTGAAAGGCTAGGGCCAGAATGTTGGCTGTCTTTGTAGCCTTTTTCTCTAATTTGTGGTCTTTGAACTTAAGTTGTTAACCCTCCAGAAGAGAAGCTTAATGATATTATTACCCTATATCATAGGCAGTTGAGCTTAACTTCACTATTTGTCTGAATATCAAACATCTTCGATATAGCATGGAACAGGTACTTTCCATCAAGTAATGATATGTTAAACTTTAAATCCCTACAGAATGAGAAGGAAAAAAAGAAAAAATAAATAATATTTTTTTAAATTTGTAATAAACAGTTACATATTTTTACACATAAATTTAGAAATCTAACCATATACAGCAATGTAGCAGGACAGTCCTATGACATCTTTTTTCTTGTCTCTTGTTTTCATTTATTACCCTTTTTTTTAAAACAAACATTTACTTGAGACACAGTATAGCAGTTAATTCATATGACATGACAAGCAGTACGTGTTCAGAAGACTAGAATGAGAGGCATTCCAAGCATGACCCTAGTATTACACATTGCTATTTTCAGTGCAGTTGCTTAGTTCACCAGTATGAGCATATGTAGTTAACCAGAGTGAGAATCCTACCAATTAACTGCTAGTTTCAAAAACCTTGCTGAAGACTCTCAGGATCATTGTCTTAACCATCTTGTGCATATAAATGTATGTTTTTGCCCCTAGCTATGTTTCCTAGCTTTTCTCCTTGCTCTCTCCCCATTGTCCAATCCTTAAGTTTTAGCTTTCCTTTTAATTGTGTTATACCTTTCTATTTATAATTCTTCTTTTGAGTTCTTCTGCTAGGGAGACAACACAATATTTACACATGTGGGTCTGTTTTATTACACATAAGTATATCTTCAAGTGGCATCCACTTAAATATAAATGCTTCAAGTTTATCATTGTTTATAGATGAGTATAAAAATGCCACACCTTTTTCATCCATTCCTCACGTGAGGGGCATCTTGGTTGTTTTTAAGATTTGGCTAGCACAAATTGTGCTGCTATGAACATAGGTGCAAATATATCAGTATGATATGATGTTTTCAGTTCCTCTGGGAAAATGCCCAGTAGGGGGATAGCTGGATTGAATGGGATTTCCAGTCATAGTTTTTTAAGGAGTCTCCACACTGATTTCTATAATGGTTGTATCAGTCTACATTTCCACCAGCAGTGGAGAAGGGTTCCTTTTTCCCCATAGCTTTCTCCAACATTTGCTGCTGGTTGATTTCTTTATGATAGCCATTCTTTTTGGGGTGTGATGGTACGTCAGTGTTGCTTTATTCTGTATACCACGTGCATAATGCTTTTAAGGAAACAAAAACATATAACCAAGCATGAAGCAGAGCACCCAATAAATATATTTCTTCTGTCTCATAAGACTTATAAAGCATTGGATTAAATTAACTGGCTGGACCCCCAGACAGATACAGGGTCCTGGTAATCCCTGCCCTGCCCATCCCCACCATCTCAGGATCCTCTGGGGATTGTGACTGGGAGCCTTGGTGAATACTATCAGGAACACCACTGCTGCAGAACCCTTGCAGAGCTTAAGCCCTATCCCCTTAACACTGTCAGCCTTGCTCATCAGGGGCTCAACACCACACCCCACTGTCACAAAAACCATGCTTAAACTGGGACAGTAGGAGATGTGATGAGCCTTGCTGTGTTGGATGTCATCCCTCCATCATTCCTGCTCAGCCTGAGGGGGCAGAGAACATTAGGAGCATCAAAATGACGGCAAAAAGACCTTAGACCTTCAGCCCACTGAGAACAAGTCCACGAGTCAAGAACATAGAAGAACTTGGAATTCATATGCCTGAAATTTCTGAAATGATAGCAACTGATGTAAAGAAACAACTCATTAGGCTATACAATAAATCATATCACAAACAATCTCTAGGGTAAAAAAAGAAATCACTACAGCCATGAAAAAATTGCTCAGCATATCTAAACAAATAGATAAAAAGAAA